GAGAACCTGGGAAGGCCATGGACCAAGGTCGCTTAGAGGTCAGCAGGTACACAGGTTGAACTATAGGCTTTTTTCTAGGCTTCCCATCTTTCCAGTTGCTCTCTTCTTCCTGCCCTAATCAACTCTTAATCATTCCCAGCTACTGTACTGCTGACAGTTCTCTCTGAGCTTGCTTTTGTTTTTAGTGAAAGGCCAACAAAACACTGCTGGCTATTTGGGCTTACTAATGATCATTCTGATCAGCTCAATTATGTCAGCTGACTCCCAGCATCTAAGGGCCAACAACAGCCTGCTTATTCAATCAGGGTCTGGCCTATTTTCCAATTACCAGCATCATTTGGGCTTGTGTCCTTCAACTGTGAACTTGCTTGAGTTCAAGTCATCTTCAGCTGCACATTGACATGAGAAATGAGTGTTTCTGTGTCTGTCAGTGAGCCAGCCTCCCCCTTCCTGTTGGAGGGCAAGTGAAATGGCATGTGTTTCTCTGTGTTCCCAGGCTTGCAGAGGCTAAGCAGCCGGTCCCAATGAAATCCCTATAGCAAGCTCTGGGGAAGTACAGAGAGGCTGGCTTCATTGGGCTTCTGAATTCCAACTTGCACTCCTACTCAGGGGCCTGACAGGATAACCACCATCTCATTTGCCCAAGATCAAGGGTTGTCCTAGGACATGTGTCTTCCAGTGCTAAATCTGGGAAAGTCAGCCACCCTATAGCTGCCACACCAGGTCACAAAGGCATTGAACATTTCTTGGGTGATCTCTCTGGAATCTAGATCTGAGAATGAAAGTCATGGCACATCTTTCTCACAGGTCTGAAGATTACAATGTATTCTTTCACTGCTCTGCCTTCTATTTTGCTTCCAATCTGAATTACATATCAAGATGAAGCGGTATTCCCAATGAGCAAATGGATAAACAACTGCAGGCTTTCTGAGATAAAGGTGCCACCAAGGAAGGAACAGTTGTCACATAACTTCCAAGTGGAGATGCACCATCTTCAAGGCACTCTTCCTAACTCAAATGCAGATCAAGTATTTCTTATGTAGCTGGCATATACAGGCATACGTTCCATGTACTCTCTGCCTTCAGTTAATTGACAACTCCCATCTTGAGAGTGACACAAATGCAATTAACTATATTTGCTCCAGGTATCTAGGGGATTTCAAATACGAAGAATAGGCCCTTACAGCTAGAGCGGGGAGAAGCAGAGTAATTCTACTTACTATAAGCTTTACTTTCATCATGTCACATATCAGCTAACATTGCTTCAGCACTTAGCATGAGACTCATTTAAGTTTTTACAGTTCTTTATGTTAGATGATAGCTCTATGAATGAGGGAAATGAGGTCTTGAAAAGCCCAGGATCTCGCTCAAGGTTGTACATTAGAAAGTGAAGAGTTTACAGTTGGAACCCAAAGAGTCTGAGTTTGATTAGTGGGCTGTGTGTTGCTGAATCTCCTACCCTTATGGATACTCAAATCAACCCAGATGCCAGATGCTCAGTTAATATCAGACAAAAGCAAGTGGGATGCGGCCATTCAAGGAGGAAGGAAGGAGGGAAATAGAAGGCTGGAAGTTCTGCACCGAAGAAGCCCAAAGACTAACTCCAGGAATTTCCCAACGGTCATGTGAGACTTCTGGGAACAGTGATATTCTAAAGGAAACTGACTGGACACATGTTGCCCTACTGGCCCCTAGCTGCGTCAGATTCTAAAGAATGTGAAGGCAAATGCCTGACTTCCTCATCATCCTTCAAGAATGTAGATGGGTGACATCCATTGCTGTCTATTTTCTAGACGGCATTGTAAGTTTCATGAGAACATCTATTTCTTGTGGAAATTATGGAATATCTGTTGACATGGGGCCACATGCCTTTATGCACAGCTACTTCGGAGGTACAGATAAGAGGCTCACGGTTTGGGGCTAACCAAGGCAAATGTTAGCAAGACACTATCCTAAAAACCAATGAGATATGGTGGTATACATTCACAAACCCAGTTGATTGGGAAGCCAGAGGTAGGAAGGAGACTCTTGGTCTGAGATAGTCTTGGGTAAACCCCTAAGACTCTACCTGAAGAACAAACTTCAGCCAAAAGGACTGAGAGTGTGGCTCAAGTGGTAGAAAACTTACCTAGCAAGTATATGACCCTGGGGGTGGGGGGTGGGGTGGGTAAATGTAGTCGTGGAGATGGGAGGGCAGGGATGGTAGGGAAAAAACAAAGGAGGAGGTAACAATGCTTGATAAGAAATGTACTTACGACTTTGGTGAGGGGGGGGTAGCGGGGAAAATTGGGGGGGGCGGGGGGAGGATGAGAAGGGATGGGAAGGGGAAACTAAGGAGGAGGCTACAATGCTTGATAAGAAATGTACTCATTATCTTGCCCATGTAATTGTAACCCCTCTGTACAGTATTTTCACAATAAAAAATAAAAATATTTGCAATAACGATTCACAAGTTTGCCATTGTTAGTGAATCCAAGAGCTAAGTACCCAGTGCCTGGTATCATGTAATTGTAATTCTCAGAAACATTCTCATTATCTGTTCCTGTGCTTTATAGGTTTGGGTTTGTATAAAAGAAACACATAATTTTAGATAATTAGATGTTTAAAAACTTGCTAAAATTAATTTCCCTGTACCTATAATTAATAATTACTAAATATAGGAAGAACACTGTTACAAGCACAATTTAAAGAAATATAAGCTTGTGGGAAGAAAAAAGAACAGATACCTTTTTGCCCACTGACATTGTTAATAAATTCCTGGTTAGTCTAATCATAGCTTTTCTCCAGGCCCCCCAAAAGAAAATTTTATTGAGAATACTAGCTTGTTCAGGGCCTTTGTGATACTGAGACCTCAAATCAGCTCTGGGCACTGCCAGGTGCTAGAATACTAGGAATTCTTCTTCAGTTATGGAAAAGAACTGGGCATTTTTTGATGGCAAAGAAAGCCTTTCTCTACTTGTCAGTTATACTAAGCTTTATCCTACAATGGCCTTTATGCTTCAGTGCATAAGGGAGAAATTGACATTCAGCTCTAGCTGATGCTTTTGTTTGCTAACTCAGCAAAGGCCCTCCTCAGAACGCAGGGCCTTTCTGAGGATGGCCTAGGAGAGTGTCTCTTCCTGGTAAGCCTTTGGGAAAGGAATTGCCCTTCTTCCTAAGCAGGCTTAAAGAAGTGACCTGAACTCAGATCCTCAGAAGCTGAGCATGAAGATGAGATCAGCCTTCCTCACATGCTTCATTTGCATGGCCCCTTCCGCTTCTAGCCTTTTTTCTTTGACATTTTTTTAAATTAGTTATAACTGCTGTTTCCAATCTTTTCACTCCCTTGAGTTGTTTGTCCAATCTTTTCTTCTGGGAGTGGCTATTTACCCTCAACAGATTTTGTAAACAACAAGCTAGCAGAACCACCACCAAAGTGTTTTAGTTTCCTTCTATTAGTTGTCCAAATATGTTTAAAAATAACTCAATGCTTGCTCCCAAGAGCTTTCTAGAAAGCTGTTGAGAAAGAAAATGGTGAAAATTAGCTCTTTAGCCAATGATGAAAGAGGCACCTCAGTTAGATGTTAAAAGTCTTGTTTTGTTCCAGAACAATTGAGTGATACGTAAAAAGATGCAGTGACATTAATCAAGATCCAGTGCACTTATAAATCAATATTGAATTGAAATTCCTTAGTACAACTACTTAAAGATAATATAAACATGTTTTAAGATGTAAAAAAAAGGCAAAAATGTTTTGCCATGAATTTCCATAGATTGTGAATTGAGAAATTTTAAAGGTAGCATACAACTTGCTAGTACCTTGTTTGCCTGATATAGATACTATACTCTATTTAATACGTATTGGTTTTATATTTTGATTCTTTACCAACAAATGTTTTGTTAACCCTGGAGGGTCTGTCAGAGAGGGCTAATACTTGAGATAGTAAGGAATTCACCCTGAGCTATTCACAAACCAACTAGTATAAACCTTTTCTATCAGGTTCTCCTGCCAATCACCCTAGGGCTAGGTGGCAGACAACCGTGGACAACCCAACCTCTATTCTCCAGAAACTGCTGTTTTTGTCTAAATTAGCCAACCCTAAGCCTATTTACCCTGCCTCACCCACTCCTTCCCAAGGAAACTCTGAAAAAGGCTCTGGTCCATGTTTTTCCTGTTCCCTTGGTCTCTGGTCTGATCTTCTGCTTCCCCAAGTGGCTGCTGGTGATGTGGTGTGACTGCGGTATAACCTTTTCCCATGGTGTACCTGATATCAAGCTATCATTTCAGTGGTAGCCATCTGACCTGTTAGCCTAAGTAGAATTTACAATTTTAAACACATGGAAAACAGAAGGGATACGAGGGAGCAAAATTGGACAATCACTCCCTGGCATTCTGGCTACTGTTGAAATGGACTTGGATGAAACTTAGTGGCTGTGGAATAAAAGCACCAGATTCATACAAAACAATGTATTCTGTAGTACTCAAGGGCCCTAGAAATAGCTGCCATGAAAGCATCCAGAATCTTTGACTTCTAAAGCACATACTGGGTCCAATGGTAAAAGTAGTTCATGAGCAAGTAAGAGTGGACCCTGTTCACCTACATAATAATACTAGAGCTTTATCTCAAGTCTTCTGGCTTCTAGTTAGATGCTAAATATTCATTTGCCTACTGAGCAACTATTTCTGATCATTGATTAATAATATGAGAGACAACAGAGAGATCAAAAATACACCTTCAAGAAACTAAATAAATAAAAGTGAATGAATGAATGACTTCAGTGCTGGAAATCAAAGCTACTTCCTCCTGCCTAAACCAATACACATGGAAGCTTTGGATAGCCATGGATGTTTTGACTTCCCTTGGCCCTCTGCTGACTGCGAAACCTTTTTCACTGCTGTAATCTTTCGGCTAACAGCCATCGGCAAGCATCTTCCAGAGGTCTGATTGGTGGTGTACTATGACAAATGGCAAGCTCCCAGAGTGACCCAGGCACCTTTACCAAGGGCAGGTGACACTTACCAAGGGCTCCAGCTCCTTGCGGTCTATGAGGTTCATCTCTGTGACAAAGTAATAGAAGTGTTTGTAGCAGGTGTTGACGTGGGCCTCTGCACCCATCACAATGACTCGGTCGAAGTGGTGGATATAGACATGGACAAAGACCCGGAAAAGGCGGCAAAGGATCTTCTTGCAGATCTGAAGGAAGTTCCTTGGGAATGGAATGCCTAGAGAAGCACAGAGAAAGGCATGAAACCATGATGGAAAAAAACTAGGTTTATTCTTGCTCTAAAATAAGAAGACTGGCAGAAGAAGGGTCATACTAAAGGGGGCCTGGTATCCTGGCCACAGGAGTAAGAGGGAAGGCCTAACAAATTGGAAAGTGCCTCCTTCCCCCCACCACAATCCAAGGGGGAAGCTGCTAGATTGCAGCCAGGAGTGGCCATAGTTGGGGTCAGAGGGCAGGGGTGTTAGAGCTTCTGATTCTTCGTAGTAATTCAAAAGTCTGGAGTTCTGTGCAAAACAGGTGCATTTAAAAAAAAGTTAGCAATTAAAAAATAATGTTAAATGTTAGTTTTTAAAATAACAAGGAGTCTGTTGTTCCCATTTCTTACATGGGGAATAAGAAACACACTTAAGATTGCAATCTCCTTATTTGCAAATTCTGATCCAAAATGATTCCTAAGGTACAATGTTTCTGGGGTGGACAAATCCAACAAACTCTGTAATGTTCTTCTTGTTTTCAGAAAGGCAAGAGCTGGAGAGCTATATGTCCATGACAAAGAAAGGTTGTGTGGTTGGAGAAGTTACACAGATTTCCTGTCTGATGACCCCTACACCCAGCTGGTCAAAACAACAAACAGCAGAATCATAAGCCTCTGTCTCCTTCTTATACACTAGTGAAGTGCTGGTCATTGATACTACCCTGAAGTGGAAGCCTGTTTCAATTCTTATTAAGTTAGACTTGATTTATTTGAATTCCAACTCTGCTCCTTTCTCAGCTTTATGGCAGATAAGAGCTAATTTAACCTCTGGTTTATATTCTGTGAAGGGGGACCATAAGAAGGCCTTCCCTGGCTGGGGTGGAGAGGTGTCCATGAGTGAGAGCCTCCTACAGTGCCCAGAACATAGCAGAAGCCCTCTGCCTTCTCTTTGCAAGAGAAGATCAGGGGCATCTAGATGTTGTCAGGACAGCTCCTTTGTCAAGAATAGACAGGTGTGAGCATCTCCTTTTGCTCAGTCAGGGCCACCCCAAGTGGCTAGGAAACTAAGAGTTTTGCTGTCCTTGGATCCACAGGGGCCTGGGACAGATGCCTGCTGGGAGGCATTCTGTAAAGAAACCACCTGGGATCTCCCCTCTTGGGCAGGTTTAGAAATGGGGCAGGGCTGGCGGTGGGCTGGGACAGGATCCTCACACTGATACCAGCTTTTCTTCAAAAACAAAACAAAACAAAAAACAAAGTGGCAGCATATCAAATGAACCCAAAGGGAGTCTCAGCCTTAGTCTGACAATTGACACTGTCTGGGTGACAGATGCTGGAAGTGGGGAGAGAGGGGGAGGTACAGCCCAAGAGGAGGGAAAATATGACCACTTGAGGAGCCCATGGGCTTTCTGAGAAGAAGGACCAAGGAAGCATCTCTGTGGTAGAAGCCAAGTAACTGGTCAGAAGGTTGAATGCATTTGCATATGAATGACAAGGAGGCTTTGACACATTAATTACCTTGCTAAGAGGTAGCAGAGCTGGGATACATTGACTAAAGTCCAAAATACAGGTACATTTGGATGTGACTTGCCTTCATCCCTGGATTAAAGGCACAATTCAATTGGGCCACACAGTATGGCCCCTGACATTTCCTCTTCAGCAGCACAGAAACATAAGCAGATGAAAGGGAGGAAATGGTGTATCAGAAGCCTTATTCAGAAGTAATAGAAAAAGGTTTGGTGCTGGTGGCTCATGCTTGTAATTTTAGCTACTTGGGAGGCTGAGATCTGAGGACAGTAGATTGAAGGCAGCCAGATTCGAGACTCTTATCTCCAATTAACTACCAAAAAGCCAGAAGTGGAACTAGGATGCAAGTGGTAGAGTGCCTTGGGCAAAAATGCTAAGGGACAGTGCCCAGGCTCCGAGATCAAGCCTCAGTATTGGTGTGCATGTGTGCACACGTGTGTGCACGCACATACACACACATACACAAAACGATAGGATAGCTAGTATACTCTGCTACCTACATGTAGAAATGTGCTTTTCCTCTTCAGGCTTTAAGATCACACACAGGCCTGGAACTAATGGTTTATACTACTATATCCTGAGTACTTACCCTGTTAGGATGGACCATGCCAAGCACTCTATGTGGGCTAGCTGACTGAGTTCCCAGAATGACTTTTCAATTACTGTTTCCATTTTGTAGATGAGTAAACAGACTTTAGAAAATTATGTAACCATCCAAAGTCCCTCAATTGGTTCTCGGTAGCCTAAGTAGTCTGACTCCAAAGCCAGAAACATCCAATAACTTGCAATGCTACAATGTAGCTCTAAGGCTCTGCACATCTTCTAGCTCTAAGGCCTTGCATTCTGGAGGGCCTCAACTCTCTCAGGTATGCTCATGTTTCTGCTGGCTCTGGTCTGGTAGAGGCTCTGTAGCTGGTGGAAACATGGGACATTTCCAATGTGCCAGTCCATCTGCATGTCCCCATATTCCATTCTCCAACTGCAGATGAAGCAAAGACTACGACACATGGGGGATGAGCAACACTATTTCTAGTACCTCTAGATGATCCCTACTGCCCTCAGCCCTGATTCTGCTCAGCTCTGAACCCTTTGTCCCAGCCTTCCATTCCTTTCTTGGTCTCTGTCCTTGTCTGTAGCCCTATGGTAGTTGTCTCTTGCCCCTCCCCTTTGGATTATTATTTAGGAATGGTTGACAGAAGTTAGTTTTATAGCCTAGAAAACCTAGTTTAATACCCTAGCCCTTCTCTTTACTAGCTGTACAGACAAGTCACAGTAGCGTTATTTTATCATAAAGTTAATAAGCAGTACTTTGTACTGTCCTTATGATAATATCAGTACTGCATCTGACACTTCACAAGAACTTTGGGGCTAAGCTCTAGTTTATTGCTTTCCACCCGAACTCTTTGGATAAGCAAGATTCAAGACTCAGAATCTCTTAGTTCTGTCTGCAAAGTTGACTTGACTTCCACCATTCCCTTGCTTGTAATTCGTTCTTCAAAAGTAAAAGTTGCAAATGATTCAAGTCAAGACACGCTCACTGTGTGTCACCGTTCTCACCCTGGGCCAACTCTACAAGATAAGAATCTGGGTGTGCCAGTGAGCCTGGAACCCTGAGGGATTCTCAGGCAAGCCAAAAATAAAATCCCAGGTCACTTAGGATATAGGTTTGAGAATAGAAAAGTTGTAGACATTTGGCTAGGTCTTTAGATTACTGATGGCTCTGGTGCTAATTCTGTAGTCTGTATACTATTTTACCCTTTCCTCCCTTTCTACGGATATTAAGATTTAAGTGTGCATTTTAAATAAGCCTTCTTCAGAAGGTTGGAATTGAAGTGGAAGGCATGGTCCTTCCTGTACAACCTTCCCTTTGAGGGATTCTAGATTTCTCATCCTGTGTAACTAGCCTAATGGTTAAAAGACAGAGTAAGTCTAGACCCACTGACTCATTCCTTTAGTGAAAGAAAAGTGATTCATCTTTATTTTTTTCTTGGCTGGTACAATGGGGCATGAAATCAGGGCCTATCTCTGAGCTTTTTGCTGATGGGCTGATGGGCTACCACTCTACTTCCATCATTTTGGTGGTCAAGTGGAGATAAGAGTCTCACAGACTTACCTGCCTAAACTGGATCTCAGTCTCCTGAGTAGCTAGGATTCCAAGCATGAGCTACCCATGCTGGACTGATCCATAGTTTTTGTCATCTTGATGGTGCTGCAAAGAAGTTTCCAATCTCTATAAAATAGCCACAGAAGCCACACAGCAGTTGTTCACTCCTGTAATCCTACTCAGGAGGCTAAGATCTGAGGGTTATAGTTTGAAGTTAGCAGAAAAGTCAATGAGACTCTTATCTTAAATAAACTACACAAAAACGGACAGTGGAATTGTGGTTCAAGTGGTAGAGTGCTAACCTTGAGTGAATGAAGCTCAGGAACAGTGCCCAGGCTCTGAGTTCAAACCCACTCCAGGACAGGCACCAAAAAAGAAAAAAAATAAAAAAAAAGAAAAGGGACACACACACACACACACACACACACACACACACACACACACACACACACACACACACACACACAGAGTATTTAATCCCAGTGATGTTCTGAGCATGCTATCATTATTTCAGTTTTGTTCTGAACATGCTATCATTATTTCAGTTTTTTAAAGTAAGGCAAATAAGGCTTGGCTGAGTTAAAACATTTGCTCCAGGCCACACAGCTAACAGGAGAAGATAGGGATTTAGGTTTATCTCCATTCAGTTATGACAGGCTGCATGGTGGTAGGGGACATACGATTTGAGACCAGCATTGTATGGCCTTGTATTGTGTTTGAAATATAGTCTAGCAGTAAGAAGAACAAACGGCTAGTGGATTATCTCAAAGACATGCCTAGCTAGTGACAATGGTAGCCTGTTCATGGCTCAGTCTTGGTACAGGAAGGTCCACGTGGCCCATAGAATAGCATTCACATCAGAAGCAGAGACAAACCTCACTCTTTGGCCCTAATGCCTTTCTTTAATACACAAGATACTTTAGTCCTGCCGGGCGCTGGTGGCTCATGCCTGTAATCCTAGCTACTCAGGAGGCTGAGATCTGAGGATCGCGGTTCAATGCCAGCCTGGGCAGGAGAGACCGTGAGACTCCTATCTCCAATAAACCACCAGAAAACCGGAAGTGGCGCTGTAGCTCAAGTGGTAGAGCGCTCATCTTGAGCTGAAGAGCTGAGGGACAGCCCCCAGGCCCAGAGTTCAAGCCCCACGGCCGACAAAAAAAAAAAAGATAATCTAGTCCTTCTATGTCATGGTTTTCCAATATGTATTTTAAAAATCATTACTCTTGATAGACACTTGGCTGAAAAGGGAGGGCCATATAGTCATATATTTGCAGAAAATGCTGCTTTCATAGAAGTTTGCAATATAGCCAAGCAGAGTAAAGATCTGAGGAGGAGAGGAAGTCTAGTTTAACTCTAGGTTCCCCTTTCCCTATAGAAGCTACAGAATCTGTAA